AAATTTTTGTTTTCTCAACATAGTGAATCAGAAATTTCGAGTTGTGACGTAGTAAATCAGAAATTCCGAGTTGTGACGTCAAAACTATGAACTAAGAACTCGGAACACAGATTGCACGACCGGGCTTCCGTAGTTTGACGCCAACTGACCAATATATTTTTGAGAGTTGTCATTACCGATTTAGGCTGAAGATCGGAGGATTTTTCAGGAGCGGCGATAAAGGTCCGCAGAAATGCGTCAAATACTTTTTTTTAACTATCTTTCGGTAGAAACCTTATTTTTAGAGGTTGTACAGAATAAGTGCCGATAATTGGGGTAGTGCCGATAATAGGAACCTTTACCTTAATTAAAATACCTACCTATGAAAACACATATTATTCAAAACACACTTGCTTGGACGCCACGCCATATTGAATTTTTGTTTTGACCCTTGTCAGTTAGGATCCTTCGTTAAGCCTAGTACCACAGCCTCCTACATTTAACAAGCCATATGAAGTTAAAAAGGCAACACCGCAATCTTACCGCCAAGTGGTGCTGGTGGTGTTTGTTTTTATAAATATATATTTTTTATTTTAATAATAGATAGTTATTGGACGTGCAATAAGGGCAAGCAGTATTTGAATTAGCCTTATTTTGACATCTACGCATGCGCATATGGGTCCGAAAATAAGGATTCCCTTAATAAGGTTACTGCTTGACTTTATTTGTGTATGGTTAGTGCGAGGCACTAAACTTCCCTTATTTCAAATTTCTGACATTTTGGACGACTTTGACGTTTCGCTTTTCGATGATGACGTAATTTTACTTGGAACATTAATTTTTTACAATAGTTTTTCATTTAATTGTGGGTAACATCAAAAAATAGGTATCAGCAGAAAATCACAAACAAAAAAACACTTTTTCTACAAACGTGTTAAAAATGCAATTTTTAACACTCCCCCGAAGCATTAAAAATGTTACTTTATCGCACTAGTGCCATAAAGTCTTTATAGCACTAGTGTTAAAAATGAAACATCAAATTTTGAGAGCGAACGTCAAAAAAAGTTTGTATTTATAGTTATTTATATTCATAATAATAGTGAAATTTGAACAACTGTGGTAGCCCGACTGGCCGCCTCATCTATATTTTTCAAGGGATCGATGCAGCCCTCTTTTTTTTCTGTATTTTGTTACATTTTTAGCAAAAAGCATTACTGACCACGACATACTTTCAAGAAACTGACAAGACATTTCATTACCTGTAAAACAAGGTGCTGATGGTTATTTGGCTTTTTTGACAAATGTCAAATTCAATAATTTTATGTAGGAAAGATGCTAAAAATCCAATTTGTTACTGGTTATTGCTTTTTATTGCCGTTTGTAGAAAAAATAGTGTATGATATTTATGTTAAAAGTATTTTTAAGGCACTTATGTGAAACTTTCACATGCGTGCCTTAAAAATGTACTTTTAACACTTATATCATAAATAACTATTTTGAGGCTGAAATTTATAAACATAGCTATCAGCTGTCAAAATTATGAATACAAAATAAGGTAATACTCTAGCACCTACTACAGTCTTCCAATAACTGTTTTTTTCTTGGAAAAATAGTGCTGATGCGCTAATAAAATAACGTAGTTCCTTAATACTGCGAGGCAGTATTTAATAATTCCAATAACTCTCTAATATGAATCACGAAAAATGCATAATTTATTGTACTAAAGGGCCAAAAACAGTAATTCAATGAATAATATAACTATTTGTGTAAATAAGAACAGTAAATAATTGATTTAAATGAATATATTTCTAGAGTCTAAAGTGTTATAGGCCTATGTTTCAGTATGTCTTTTGAAAAATCTAACTTTTTCTTTCTTCGGGATTTTTTCGGAAGGCAGGTCCATTCAAATACTTGAGCTGATTTTCGAAAATAAGAGGTACCTACTTTTAAGAGTTGGACGTTTCAGTTTGAACTCTCGAACTACGCCTTTATCCTTGTTTGTTTCAAATCTAATTATTTCGGTTTCTTCAAAATGTTTACAACACACCACAGAATTTTTTGCTATTGTATAATCTCGGGTATAATGGGCTCTTTCACTAAAATTTAAATACGTAATTTAAGTATAAAATCTCAAAGGAGGGACTATTTTAGGCATATATACCAAAAAAAAAATGTTCTACAAGGTTCAATAAGTTTTTCATAGGCAATCAAAAGTGCCTAAATTCAAACTATTTTAAAACGCGCCGATTTGCCGACGTCACATAAATATTCTTCATTTCGCTTATGTCGCAAGGAGGAAGGGCTCGGCTGTGTTTGCGCTCTGTAAAGATACGTAAAGGTTCGAATGCGCTGTTGTCGGTTGTGACTAAATGTAGTGCAGCGTAAAATAAATAAATAAAACTAAACATAAAAAATTGCATTAAATTGTATTTAAGCATAATTTAAAAAAAAAATGTTATAAAATCTTGAATCTATAACTAATTAATTTAACTACTTTTCATGAGATTTTGCCAACATTTCAGAATTAAATCTATTACAAATTTTCAATGTTGACAATTAGTGGCAACACGGTGAAATTGCGAGCTGCGACGTCATAGAAATAAATTCTGGGTTTTTATTTGGAGGTATTTCTTTGTTTTCTGTTTTCTCAAGAAGGACTTTGAATTTTTCAGAAGTAAAAATACAGAAAATTCTGTTTTTAGTTGCTTTATCCAAATATGCCAATTTCAAAAATTAGTGAAAGAGCCCATTATCTTGGTGTATTGCTTTCATCCACATTTTTTGCAATTCAGAATTTTTTTGGAAATGAAAATGTTTGCATTTCTTCAGTTTTTAAGGAACTCCTAATAGTTCGATTTGCACCCAGGAACACACTAGTTTCATGGCATCTGGAACAAGTTTAAATATCTTAAGTAATATATCGAGACATATGCTCTTGCAGACAAATATTAATATTGTTTTTATTGTTTTATCTCACCTTACCTTCATTTTTGCTCCTGTACCCATTTGCTTAAAAATTGCAATCAAAGCACAAAGGAACAGGTATCAACTAAATATGGGCAATATATTGGTGTTTCTATCCACTTTTTCGTCAATAATGCCCACAAAAATACTAAACTGCAACAATACACAATGAAAGCAATACACAGAAACACATAACCCAATAACAAAATAGCACCATACGCGACGTTGCCGTCATTTCCAACTTCATGGCTTGTTAAGTATAGGAGGCAGTGCTAGTACTCATAACTGCGAAATTCGCATTTTTTTGACATTGCGTTGACAATTTGACGTTTTATGCGTGTATCAAACGTCAAATTGTCGAAGCAATGTCAAGAAAATGCGAATTTCGCAGTTATGAGTACTAGGCTTTAATCTGATGTGAACGTTTGAACTACAACTTAGTTCAGCTAAGAATTTCAAAGTTAGCTAAGATAAGACAGTGTGCAGAAAAAAAGCAGCTAATGTTAATATCAAAGAATAATTAATATCTGAATTGTGTGTTTTGGAGTGACTCCGAGGAGCTCTAGAGCGACACGTTCGGTGTACTGGATATGATAATATATAACAACGGGTACATAACTTTTAATAAACGTTCAGACACAAACGTGGTAAATTCGAAGTTTTCATAAGTCAATGCGACCCTCAATTGGTTGGTAGGTATAATTAAAAACTTTTTATTTTATTCAACTTTAATCTAATTGAATATATACGCACATTATACATTAGTCGTAAATAAATAATATTTTTCATCATAAAAGTATATTCTAAACTACGACCGCTGGCGCAAACAGCTGACGACGTAGTTGATGACGTCGTAAATTGATGCTACACAATAGTTGTATTCCTTTCACACCTAGGAGGAGCTCCGGAACAGCTCCGGGGCTTCACGCGCTTATTCCTTTCGAAAAGTGTTTGTTGCACCACGCATCTGTTCCCTGCGGGGGCGACTAAACACCGAAGCGAGTAGCTCGAGTGTTTCAAACACTTGAAAGGAATACAACTAATATAGCCGGAGTCTCATGCATTCGTTTTCTTACGTCCGATGTTTGAGAAACCTTCCAATAGGTGCTAGCTGACGTCTCACACATAACCTCAATGGCATTAGGCAATTCATTGGGCAATTCAATCTCAATCCATCTGTCAAAACAAAAAATTCAATATGGCGTGGCGGCCAGCAAGTTTGTTTTGAATATTAATGTGTTTTCATGTACATATATTTTAACTATTTTGCTTCGAGCTTTGCTTGCAGCTTTGATTTTGATTATTCAATAAAATATTTGCTTACTAGGTACGTAAACTATTAAGTCGGGCAGAAACTAGACATTTTTTAGTGTTTTTTGATCCATGTGTGGCCGCCACGCCATCTTGAATGTCACGTGGTTTGAATTGCCTAATGTTTGTCCCCCGAACGGAAGTGAGGTTATGTATGTGACGTCAGCTAGTGCCTGGATCCGATAGAGCGAAAAAAACCTCTACTGTAGTGTAAACGCTAAACGGCCTTTGAAATAAGAATAAATAAATCAGTCGAATGTTGATGGGCGATCGCGATTATTGGTTTTCTAATTTACAATAATAATCAAGGCGACGTGAAAATTGGCCAACGAGGCAAAGCCGAGTTGGACAATACGTCGAGTGACTAAAAGACATCGTTTCGTAACGTGTTGCATAGAAGATTTTTTCTACTACTACTAAATCATATAGCTTGTGGTCCAAAAACCCTAGGTCAAGGTGAGAAATAACTCACTGCCTACGTCATCACTGGCACTTTGGCGTGGGCGTGGTTCGCCGGTGCAGTGGAGTAGCCAGGAGTGGAGCAGTTGCGGGATAGATTGCACTCGGAGCGCAGCAAAAGTATTTTCGACAACGATATACCGCGCGTGGCTAAATTCACTCAGCTGAGTTTATAGTTCATTGGCAACGACCAAGCTTATAATCGCCGTTCGAAAACCTAGAACAAGAGCGAGCATACCGAAGCGTAATTTTTGCACCAGCGAGAGATTTGCGAACGCATCTCAGCTGTCCACAAAAGTCAAATTGAGGTCTAGTGGCGCCTCTCGCGGACATTGCGAACATTCCTCCTTTTACGGATTCTTTTACAGTGTCAACATGGCGGATCAAGTGAGTTTTTTTTAAATTTTCGCGTATTTTTGCAAGAAAAAAACCATTTTCAATCAAAATTCAAGACTAATTATTTTATTACAGTGTTAATCGTTGTATCTTAGGTTCAACTTGTATAATTTTCCTTTTATTACATCCTAAAAATCTGACTTAACCATGAAATGTTTGTGGTGATGCACGTGCATCTGAAATTTTCTGATAAAATTTCTCTTGAAATATAATTTGCTAATTTTGTAGACGGAACGGGCTTTCCAACGTCAACCGACGATCTTTCTTAATAAAAAGAAAGGATCTGGTGGTAAGAAGAAATCTTTGCGCTACCATCGCGAAGTTGGATTGGGGTTCAAGACCCCAAGAGAGGTACATAACTTTTAAACGATACTAATTTTTTGTTTTTGTTTTGTCTAGACCGAAAAGGCTTTCCAAAAGCAACACTCTGTATTCTTGAACCCAAAACAGCAGAGCAAAAAGAAGGTTGTCAGGTTATCGAGGAGTGTGGGGCTAGGTTTTAAAACTCCCCGTGAGGTAAAAAACAAAATTTAAATATGGGATTTGGTGTCTTGATTGGTGTTTTCAGTAATTTGGGATCTCTCTTTGGTGAAATTATGGCCATGATATGTAAAACTTCAATAATGCTTATTTTGTTGGCTTGCTACAAACTGGTGCTGCTCAATGTTTTATTGTTCAATATGTGTTAATTATTATTCCAAACAATTAAGTAACTATTTTTCATTGCTTTCATTATGCACTTTTGTATTGTTTTTGGGAAAGTTTCTGAACATCTACACAATTTTAGGGTACTTTTTGTGGTCATATTTCACCTAACTTAGTCTACACTAACAGCAACTAAAACCAAAATGAAAAAATAGATTTTTCTGGCAACCGTTCGGAAATTACATACTTTCCAGACAAGTTTCACTTAGAAAAGTATGTTTTTTCAGCCTAGGCTGGGAAGTGGAACGCGTCCGAAAACTATATACTTTCCGAACGGTTTTTGAAAAAATAGTGTATGTAATACGCCAAGAAACTGTTTTTTTGGACTTGCAGACTTTCAGGACTCGGCTATGCCTTGCTCTGGAATCTTGTCTATTTGTCCAAAGAAACAATACTTTCTGGATTACTTATGTAATATACTATTCTTAGCATACATTATGTAAACTCTGTTTCAAAGTTAAAGATAAAAATCAAAATGATATTATGTTGGTAATACAATGTAAAATTGTGGATGCTTTTAATTTTTTTACATAAAGAAGACTTGTGTTGCCAACATAATTAAATTTTTGTCTCTAGGAATTATATTCAACTTTGGGACAGGCAAGACTTATCTCACAAAATCATTTTCTGTACTACTGAGATACTAAAATTAATTAACTAAAATGTAGTCAAACTTTATACTATTACTAACACTTTATTTAACATATTGAGGTATTGTAGAATGGCTTTTCATGTTCCTTGAATTTTTTTTTCTTATTGGATAATTCTTAAAACCTTATTTGAATTAAACTGTTCACCTCGAGGTGTGGGTAGACACAAATATCTACAAAAACTTGCTGTTGCTTTAATCACTATTCAAATGGCCAGCCTGACTGGTGGCAATAAGTTAATACTCTGTTAAAATTATTGTAATATTTGTTTTCAGATGTGCATAGTGTAAATAATTTCTTTTCATATTAATTATTTACTATAGCCCCTTGCCTAATCTCTCGGCTTCTCTGTTACACGCAATAATTATTATATTAGATGGAAATAGGAGTTGTTAAGTTGGATTATTTAGTGCTGAAATTTCAATCTTTTCACTCTCTATTTGCAGAATTTCAATTCAATTCCAACAAAATTTTGACTTGAAAAAATAAAACGCCTCTCGATGTTGTTTTTTGAACCTTGTTTTTTGTCTCCAAATGATGTCAACACACATTTTGCCTCACAACTTTATTAATTTTAATCCGTAATTAGAATCAAATTAAAACCAATTAATGTCTCTACAAATCTCTAGTCCATGGTTTATGGTTTCATAGCTGCAATCTTTTTTCTCTACTCATTTGCAAAATATCAATTGAGCCCTCTAACCTTTAAATTAGATTTTTTCCAAAATGACAAACATTTTGCCTCAGTACCTACCTACCTACTTTGTTAACTTCAATCCAAAAAATATGACGATGTATTAATTTTTCTTGGATAATAAAGTACATATGTATAATTACCTAACTATGGCTATGACTAATGTGATCTTAAGGCTTGAACTAGGACAAATTAAATCCTTGTTAACTCTTCAATACAGCTTCAACCTCGGCTTCAACAGTAGTGTAGAGTGGAAAAAAATAAGATTTGGATTTTTTCCAACTCAATTTTTGTTTATTCCGGTTGTTGAATTTCCTTCATGTGCTTCATCCCTGAGAAAAAAAAATTCAAGAGCTTAGAATAGACCTTGAATAAACAATAGATGGATATTTTTTTTTTAATTAAGAATTTTTCTGATTGCACCTTGACTTAATCATTCCTAAGATTTTTTTGAGAAGCAAAAGAAGAAAATTAGTGAAAAAAACTACAAATCACAATATTTAGGGGCTAAGATTATAGTATGTATTTGGAATTTTGGTGAAAATACTAGATAAGGAGGCATTAGGAGATAGTTGGCTATTTTTTTTTTCCACAAAAAGTTGCCTTTATCGGATTTCAAAAATTATTATTTGTTATTTGCAAAGTTCCAGAGTTCCAGATTATCTATTAAAATCTATCATAATTCATTCATGCACAATTACTAATCATTAAGTGTAAGTTCAGCTTGAAACAATAATTTATTTAGTACAAATCAAACTAAAAATTATGTCAATACAATAATCAGGGATCAATACCGATACGATATGGCTTTATAGAAGGCCGATACCGATATAAGGCCGATATATTTCATCGGAAATAAATAAAAAAATTTGAATTTGAGTTCAGATAAGCAGAATGTTAAGTTTTTTTTATATATAAATACCTAATTAACTTAAAATAAGTTTATGAAAAACAATTTCTAATATTTACTTTCTTCTTAGTCACTCCCATATGTACGAACCACAATTATTACCTCTTTTAAGCTTCAAAAAAGCCTTAGTGATGATTACTGATCTTTTAAAATATGATTTGTATCAGTCTAAAGTTATTGGCCAATGAAGGACCAATATACCTGAAAAAGGCCGATATGCCATATCGGTATCGGTCGATCCCTGACAATAATTATTATTAAAATATTTTGTCAATTGATTGATTGGAAGAGTCTTTCAATAATTAATAATTGGTCCAATAATTTCATAAAATATTATAGAATTTGTTGTTCTAGCTGTAACATTGCTTCTGTTCATAATAGTTGGTTTTGGTGTTAACTGAGTTGCTTTGTTCTAAGTTTCTACTTATTTTCGTCTAGAAATTATAAAATCCTCCAGACTTCTAAAGTATGTAAAAATTAATGAATAAACGATTAAATAAATTACCTATATGAAATAATTTGAAAACAAATTACTTCTCACCAGCTATATTGTTGTAATAATAATTATTGTTGCTATGTGATAACCAATAAGATTATTTTGTTGCTGCTATATGCATAAGTCAGAAACACTTCAGGTGATAGAAGACTGCAGTTTTCTGTTGCTTTAGAATTGCTTCATATTTCAAAAATCCATCTTCTTATTATTGTTTTTTTTTTTTTTTCTCAAGGCAATTGAAGGTCACTACATTGACAAGAAATGTCCATTCACTGGCAACGTGTCCATCCGTGGACGTATCTTGACTGGCGTAGTCCAAAAAATGAAGATGCAGAGGACTATTGTGATCCGTCGTGATTATCTTCACTACATCAGGAAATACAACCGTTTCGAGAAGAGGCACAGAAATATGTCTGTACATTTGTCGCCCTGTTTCAGGTAAAGACCATGTTCAAATACCAGATCTTATTATTCTGATGCGATAGCGCTAATCCTATGTAATGGATGTCAAATCATTTAAAATTTACAAGGAAAATCGTTTTAATCCAATAAGGTTTGTTTGCTTCTTTTTTTTAAAGAAATATGACCAATTCCTTCACCCGTTTTCATAATTTTTTTAGATTTATTTCAAAAATATCTATTGAATTGAATGCTTTAAATCCTATTGGTATAACTAATAAAATATTGACTTTGGAATTGAAAATTTGAACAATACAATTTTCAGGTAGATGCAGTTCCATCATATTTGCCCTACCTCATTGAAACAGCAGGCTAAAACTGTATTCCATTACATCTTCTAAAAAAAAACTTCCTCGCAGGGAAATTTATTCCTAGTTAGATTTTACTTGTTCACTAGTTCCAGTTTAGTATTGTGTAATTCCTAATTGTGAAATTAAAACTTTCTCATTGTTATTATTTGTTTCAGGGATGTCGAAATTGGAGATGTAGTGACCATTGGTGAATGCAGACCCCTTTCCAAAACTGTCCGATTCAACGTATTAAAGGTCACCAAGGGCAGTAGCTCCAAGAAAAGCTTCAGAAAATTTTAAATACATAAATTAATTATGTAATAAATCTTTTTTTAAGTTATTTGTTTGCGTTTCATAATACTCCTTGAAAAAAATAGACTATAGGACTGCATTTCCTCAATAAATCAGGAACTCTGCCAGATATTCTGTTTGAAATTGTAGTCTGTGAACCATTAGAAGTTATAACAATGAAAACATGTCAACTTTCACTTTGGTTTTTCAGATGCAAGTTTTGTAAAATTTCAACAGTCATGGCTTATGTGCCTTCAGCTGTTATAAAGGTTACATTTATCTACAAGGGCAAGCCTGTCAAATATACAACGATGATTGTAAGCTCCAGAAAAAAAATTAGAACTTGGCGATTTTGGTAATTTCCTCCCATGAGCATCTGGATGAAAATGTTGAATATTGGTATGAAAAAATAATACCTGATGTAAGTTAACCACCTATAGAAAACTGTGCTATAGATACGTCACTTATATTGGCTAGTTCCGATATCAACTGCTAGTACTGGATTTACTGTGATGATTTTACTGTCATTTGCTGTTCCGATTTCAACAGCGTACTCTTGTGGTCATTCAGTACTGAATCCAGTGTACTGAAAATAATATCGGAACGGCTTCCAGTAAATTTAGTACTGACAGTTGATATCGGAACTCAGCCATATTGCGTCGAAAAACCTGTGGCATTTATTATGACATATTCATAGTCCTCTCAGGCTGCTGCCTTTTTTGGCGATGAGTGAAACATGAAATAGAGCCTCTCATTTTAGGTTATTACAGATTGTAACTCCTTGGTCCAAAGAAAAAAACAACCATGAAATGATCAGGTTGAAAAGCTTTTAATATAATGGTTTTGTAACTACTAGGATGAAAAAAAGCGGAGTTATCGTCAAAACACAAAATTCACTTTTAAATTGAAGGTGGCAGACAACTGCTAGCAAAATTAAGTGGAAAGTTTTCAGTAGACTCCTCTAGACCATGATCAATAGTGTTCCAAATTTCCATTTTCGGATACCTATCTACTTACTTTACTTTTCCTTAATAATGGCAGAAAATAATTATCTTTAGGTTACCAAATCAACTGCTTACGAATCAGTTACAAGTAGGCACTTCTGTGATTATTTGGCATAGAAATTTATTAAACCCCCAATGCTAAGAAAAAGTGTTTTTGGTATGACATCACATTGGTTTTGAGTGACTTCTGACCCAAATTGGAATAGACTCATCATTATTTTGCCTAACAAAAAAATCTAATTAAATTTCGAAAAACGTTTTCAAATTCCTAGGAACAAAATACACCGAACTGATATCTTGAAAAATCAGTTTTCTACCAGAAAGGTAGGGGGTGTTTATACTGGATCATCCTACCTACTTTTGTTAAATCTGAATTATATTTGACACATTCTGATTTTCATTTGTGTTCTGAATTACATTTGGTGTTTTCTGAATTACTGTTGGAAACTGTGTGTAGATGATGAAAATTAAAAGTTTAAAACAAAAAAAAAAAATCATTTATTCAATAAAATATTTTCGAACTCAAATTTTCGATAGCATAAATAATACCTACTAGTGAATTTTAGGTATACCAACGACATAACAATATACAGAGGGTGTCCGGAAAATAACGTAAAAGCTCTCCACTACGTAGCAGGGGACCCTTTGAGTAACCTTGGAAAAATAATTTAAAAAATCCTCTTCAACCATTCTTGGAAATATGGAGAGGTAAATGTGGAAATTCAACTTCCTTATTTTTGATTTTTTTTTTCAAATTACAATATTTTGTACAAAGTGTTGTTAGGTATCTTTTGTTAATTCATTACACAATGGTTTATAAAAATTTGTTGTTAACGTTTGAAACGCATCATGAAAATTGCAAAATCTCTAAATTACAACGGGAAAAATTGATCTGACAACATTTTTTAGTCACCTTCGAGATATTTTCAGTGTTGCCAATTTTAATAAACATTAAAATGCTGATAACTTTCTTAAAAATTCCACCAGATTTTTTAAATTATTTTTCTGGGGTTCCTTGAAGAGTCCTCCACCACGTAGTGAAGAGCCTTTTACGCTATTTTCCGGACACCCGTATATAGTCAAGTCAATTTACCTTGGCCGGTATCGGATTAAATTACATGAAAGGATACATACACTAGCCACAGTATTTCCACTTTACTATAGTCACATTTTTATGCACAGATAAAAAGGCATGTATGTAGGAAGTTGGCCAAGATTGCAGCTGCTTTTCTAAATTTTAAATAATTTTTGAACTTATAATGTTGATTTAAGGCATATTCTAGCATAGATAATAAATAACATAAAGTTAAAAAAATATTCTATCACATCTCTAATTCTTTAAAAAAAATTAAGCTACTCTATGTCGCAGAAGAATCTTATTTAATTCTTCAAGAATTTTATTCCAATTTTGTAAGATTTCTGGATTCTTTCCTCCAGTGTAGGTCATCTGATGTATCAGGTATTTGTATGACAAATCAATGCTTCTCTTACATTCCAGCAGTAGACTAGCATGCCTAAAAAAAAATCAAAAAATATGTTTACATCACAATGGTTTTGAAACCCAATACTTACTCCTTATCACATAGAAATTCCAATTTGGTATTTTTAATACCGATTATCACCAAGTTATCACCAATGGTATCTTCAGAATCCGGCTAAAACAATAAGAATTAAGTACCTGTATGAATCTGTGCAATATTTTTGGCTTACTTCTAAAATTTCCAATTCTTTATTATTAAATAATAATACCGAGATAGCTGGTATTAAACTACATTCTCTAACAATTGTGGTTCGTCTGATATTTGACCGTGTTTCGTTCATGTAAACCATAAAATTAGTCGGGAACCTGTTACGCTTGAAATTTACACTTTCTTGTCCTATTGAAGCCTTGTGGTTATTTCTAAAATAAATAAATAGTGTTTTTCAAATATCTAAACTAGCACATCAATTTGGTTCCATAAAAAGAGATGCACTTCATTATAATATGGGAAACTAAGCCATCAATAAAAGTATAGGTAAAATGTGATATATGAGAATTAAAAAATAGGCGCTTCTATTGAAAATCCAGTATAATATTGTCGCGGCTTTGGGTTGCCTGCTGACAAAATTCTTGGGTTCGTTGTTCGTTTCGTTTATTCCAAAAATCAAAGTCCAATTAACACAGCAATAATTTATTCCACTTAACAAAACACTCTGACACTAATTACTTTATTAACAAACTCAACAATTCAACTCTTTACAATCACTATTTAAATCGTATCACACTCGAACTGAAACTAAACTACAAACCAATGCCGGCCTTCTTATATATCCCTAAATCTATTCCTGTAAAATCTAGAATACACGATAATATTATTTTCCCGAATTAAGTAGAATAATTCACTAGATTCTAGTATACTCAAGAGATAATACCGAGAGATTCTTGACAGCCTGGCGGACGTTTAGCTTATTGTGACACTGCCCTCCTCTTAAGGTTGATCGTCCCGATCAACTTCTCGCCCATGATATTTCGCCAACCTGTCCAGATGTACAACTTTCATCTTACTCCTGGTGTTGCGCTGGACTCGATAAACCAAATCATTGATCCTCTTGATTACTCTATAGGGTCCTTCCCATGCTGAAGACAATTTCGGTGATACTCCTTTCTTCCTTACTGGGTTATATAACCACACTAAGTCACCTTCTTGAAATCCGACCGAATTGGCCTTCAAGTCGTATCTGGTCTTCATTCGGTCACTGGCTAGTTGAATATGCTCCCAAGCAAAATCATGGATACCCAGAAGTCGTGCCCTTACTTCGTCGGCATAATCTCGGATTTCTCTTCGTTCTTCTTCGGGTACTCCAAACATCAGATCGCAAGGTAACCTGAGTTCCCTTCCAAAAACAATTCTAGCCGGACTTTCACCTGTTGAATCGTGAACAGCCGCTCTGTAAGCCATTAAAAATAGAGGCAAATGCTTGTCCCAATCTCGTTGGTTCTTTGCGACCACTTTTGTCAGGTGTTCCTCTATGGTCTTATTGAATCGTTCCACCATGCCATCAGATTGAGGGTGTAAAGGTGTTGTCCTTGTCTTACGAATGCCCATGATCTCACAAACTTTCTTAAAGATAGCAGATTCGAAGTTTCGTCCCTGGTCTGAATGTAACTCTAGTGGCACACCATGACGACTAAAAACTTCGTCCACTAGCACCTGGGCAACAGTGATGGCTTCTTGATTGGGAATAGCGAAAACTTCTGGCCATTTACTGAAGTAATCCATGATAACTAAGATGTATTTGTTACCACGCTCTGACTCTGGGAACGGTCCTGCTACATCTATCGCTATTCTCTCAAATGGAAGACCAACGTTGTACTGTTTCATGGGCCCTCGAGATCTTAGTTTAGGGCCTTTACTGGTAGCACAGATGTCGCATTTTCGGCACCAGCTTTTAACGTCTTCATGGTAGTGAACCCAGTAAAAACGTTCCCGAATTTTGTCCAAAGTCTTGTTAACTCCGAAATGTGCCCCTGAGGTTCCGTCGTGTATTTCTTTTAATACATCTTCCACTCGGTCTTTTGGGATTACCAGTTGGCTCTTAGTGGATTTCCCATCGGCACTTTCCCAAACTCTTTTGAGCAAACCATTTTCTACGGCCAGAGAGTTCCACTGGGCCCACAACGCCTTGTAAATCAAGCTTTTGTTTGACACTTCCCCCCATTCTGGCCTACATTCATCATTTTCTTTAAGATGTAGAATTTGCCCGATGTCCTGGTCTGCCTCCTGATCTTCTCTCATTTGCTTGGTAGTCCATTTGTCATCGACGATCAGGCCCATTCTTCTTACAGCTGGACTAGTGTTTTTCTCATGTATATCGATTCTTTGACAATGTTTGCAATCTTCTTTACATGGCCGTCTAGACAGAGCGTCAGCATTTTTATGCAGGTTTCCAGGGCGATGTTTAATTTGGAAATCGTATTGCTGCAATTTCTCAATCCATCTAGCAAGCTGTCCTTCAGGAGTTTTCATTTCTAAAAGCCATTTTAGAGCTGCGTGATCTGTTCGAATTAGAAACTTGCGTCCGTAGAGATACTTATGAAAATGGTCGACTGCTTTTACTATGGCAAGCAACTCTCTTCTGGTGACACAATAATTTCGTTCTGGCTTTGATAATGTTCTGCTGTAGTACTCCACGACATGTTCTTGTGAATTTTGGATTTGTGAAAGGACAGCTCCAACACTGGTGTTACTTGCATCTGTGTCCAAAATCAACATGCCTTTGTGATCAGGATAGGACAACACTGGGCTCGTACATAATGCTCCTTTCAATCTTCTAAATGCGGAATCGCATTCTTGGGTCCAATTGAATGTTGATTTTTCTTCTGTTAATCGATGAAGTGGAGCAGCTATATTGGCGAATCCTTCCACAAATCTTCGATAATAAGAACATAATCCTAGAAAACTCCTTAGTTCATGTTTGTCGCGTGGTTTTGGCCAGTCCCTGACAGCATCTATTTTTCCTTCCATAACTTGTATGCCCTCTTCAGATACCACGTGACCTAAGAATTCCACTTTCTTTTGAAATAGGAAACACTTATTTGGATTGAGTTTCAAGTTGGCATTCCGGAAGCGGTCAAAAACTTCTTTCAGGTTATTGAGATGTTCTTGGAACGAATTTCCCATAATCATGACATCATCCAAATATACCAGGCAAGTTCTCCATGTAAGACCTCGCAAAACAAGATGCATCAGTCGCTCAAACGTAGCTGGAGCATTACACAATCCGAAAGGCATTACATTAAACTGGTATAGCCCGCTTCCGGTACTGAAGGCAGTTTTCTCTTTGTCATCGTCATGTATTGCCACTTGCCAGTATCCACTTTTGAGATCCAAGGTGGAAAACCATTTGGAGCCCGATAAAGTTGTTAGTGTATCGTCTATTCTTGGGAGAGGGAAGCTGTCCTTCTTGGTGACGTCATTGAGCTTTCGGTAGTCCACACAAAATCTAAGACTCCCATCTTTCTTCGTAACCAGTACTACTGGCGCGGACCATGGACTATTTGACTCTTCAATGACTCCCTCTTGAAGCATTTTATCAATTTGGTTTTCCACTTCCTGTTGCTTAGCTACTGGCATACGTCGTGGTGGTTGTCTAATTGGGTGTGCCAATCCAGTATCAATTTTGTGTTGAATTAAACTGGTTCGTCCGGTTTGATTGTCCATCACAAATACGTCTGCTTCTTTCAAAATGAAGTCTGTGGCTTCTTGAAGTCTATCTGGATCAAGATGTTTCCATGATTTCGCCAAAGTCTGCATCAAGGTGTCTGTATCCAATTTGGATTTTACAAAGTGTCGCTTATCTGGTAGGTCACAGTTCGATATTTGCTTCACTGGTTCGAGAGCTCCAATAATGTCTCCTTCTTTTATTCGTACTGTTTCGGAAGAAACATTGGCAATTCTTATCATAATGTCTCCATTTGTTCTTACTAGAGTCTTTCCAACAAGAAACCTTTCTGGTTTATCTCCAATGAAATTACGTGTTAGCCCAACGCAGCACCCAGGGTTTGTTTCTAATCTTCCGCAAATGATCTTCTCAGTACTTCCAGGAATCCTCACTGGGGTTGTGGCCAAGATCTTAACGTCATCGGATTCTTCTTGTGTTGTTAGGACAATTTCTTCATTACCAAATTTAAGGATGTTCATGGAAGGGTCAAAAGAGAACCCATGTTGGCCGATCAAATCCATTCCCAAAATAAAATCATCTTCTATATCGGCGACTAATGTTTTGTGCCTGAAGGTGGTAGATCCAAAAGTGAGCTCAACCATAGCTTCTCCTTGAACTGGTGCAGATTCGCCGGTGACTGTTCGTAGTGACAGGTTTCTAGTGAGCGGTTGGATTGCCCGAGACTTGACTAATGTTCTTTTAATTATGGAAACTTCAGCACCCGTATCAAAAGTGATAGTTTTCAATTCTCCATTAATTTGTCCTTCGAATGTTAATCCTCTATAATGACTGCCCAATGATTTTATGTTAACAACACTGGGGGCTTCGTCATTACTAACCAGCATTCGCCCCTCCATACTGGTTAGTTCTCGTTTCCCTGTCTGTTATTAGGGCTGGCGTCTCTTGATCTCGAAAAGCGTTGGAAACGATCCCTTGATGGAGAGGGCATTCTTACTCTACAATCTCGTTGAATGTGTCCAACCTTATGGCAGCGATAACATTCTAATCGATTTCTTTGTGTTGGTGTTTGTCTGGAGTCGTTTCCCGTTTTTCTGTCTTCTCGTAATATTTTCTTTATTTCCTCCATGAAATTACTCATAAGGTTCTCGAAACTGCCATCCTCTTTTGATGATTGTTTTTTCCTTTGGGTCCTCAATGGACACTGCTCGTATTCTGGGTCGTGAGGCACCAAATATTGCTTCCAGTTCTAATGCTCGGACAAGGGCTTCGCTACTTTGTCTGAACTTGGACATTCTTAGGTTTTCCTGGATCTTCGAATCTCTGAGACCATCAATAAACGCAGATACTGCCATCCATTCCTGCATGTCTTCCCCAGCTGCAGGAAACGCCAAACTCACTAGCCTTTTAACTTCCGATTCGAATTCTTGTAGACTCTCGCCGGGTTTTTGAACTCTTGATTTAACTTGAGTTCTGAATACTTCTTGTCTGTAATGGTCTCCGAAGCGCAGTTCTAAAGTTTGACTAAGATGCTGGTAATTCTGCTGGTAGACTGAAGGAATGGACTGAAGAAGGTCTAAGGCAGGTCCTCGTAGCGCCACTATTAGTGCTGTAGCTTTTTCTTGGTCGTTCCATCCGTTGGTATTTGCAGCAGCTTCAAATTGTCGAATATACATGGTCCAGGACGTAGAACCGTCGAAAGTTGGTGGTTTTATCTTCATACTGGAGAATGCTCCAACACTAGCTGGATTGATGGACTGTATTTCTAATCTACGCATCTTATCTTCGAGTGCTTGAACTTGGTCCTCAACTTCTTGTCTTAATTGCTGAACATCGGCTTTGACCTCAGCTTTAACTCCCTGAACGTCGTTTTTAACTTCTTGAACATCGATTTTGACTTCAGTTTTTACTTCCTGAACGTCGTGTTTAACTTCTTGCACATCGTCTTTAACTTTTTCAATCTTCTGGTCTAGGTTAGCGACAGTTCCTTGTATGGTTTGGAATATCTTCTGTAGTTTTCCAAGGTCTTCTTGCCGTTCTTGTTGTCGCCTAGCTTCTTCTTCTTGTTTTTCTTTTTGTCGTCTGGCCTCTTCTTGTTGTCGTCTAGCTTCTTCGTCTTGTTTTTCTTGTTGTCGTCTGGCTTCTTCGTCTTGTTTTTCTTGTTGTCTTCTAGCTTCTTCTTGTTGTCGTCTAGCTTCTTCGTCTTGTTTTTCTTGTAGTCGTCTGGCTTCTTCGTCTTGTTTTTCTTGTAGTCGTCTAGCTTCTTCGTCCTGTTTTTCTTATTGTCTTCTAGCTTCTTCGTCTTGTTTTTCTTGTTGTCGTTTGGTCTCTTGAAGTTCCAACATTTTGCGCAGGAGTTCTTCAACTTTTTGTTCGTCCATTTTGGCTTGTTGTCTTGTGATAGGCATATACAGAATGTTCTAGAATTTCCCTCGAACTTTCTTCAAATATCTTTTCTGGTCTTTGCTCGAAGTTCCAAACACGCCGGTGAAGTCACAAATTGGATAACTTGCCTTATTCTAGAATAGAATGTTCTGGAATTTTCTTGAAACTTCTTTTCTAGATGTCGATTGATACAGCAAACACGTTGGTGAAGTCACAATTTCGATATCTCCCTTGGTTTCCAAATAGAATGTTCTAGAATTTTCCCGAAACTCCTCGAAAAACTTCTTCTGAATGACGATTGATGTTCCGAATGCGTCGGCGAAGTCACAAATTCGATATCTCCCTTAGTTTCCAAATAGAATTTTCTAGAACTCACTCGAAGATTCACTATCACAGTCTAAACCGGGGATAGAGTCACTTCCGGGGTAATTCACACGATCGGTTGAGTCTCTTTTTGTGATTGTCACTGTTTGCACTGCACTAACTGTCCCAGTGTTCACTTAGTGTTTAGTTTTTACACTACACTAGTGTCCCCACACTTCCGCAATTGGATTTCACTCTGCAGTCCTTTATATCCCACTTCTTGGCACCAATGTCGCGGCTTTGGGTTGCCTGCTGACAAAATTCTTGGGTTCGTTGTTCGTTTCGTTTATTCCAAAAATCAAAGTCCAATTAACACAGCAATAATTTATTCCACTTAACAAAACACTCTGACACTAATTACTTTATTAACAAACTCAACAATTCAACTCTTTACAATCACTATTTAAATCGTATCACACTCGAACTGAAACTAAACTACAAACCAATGCCGGCCTTCTTATATATCCCTAAATCTATTCCTGTAAAATCTAGAATACACGATAATATTATTTTCCCGAATTAAGTAGAATAATTCACTAGATTCTAGTATACTCAAGAGATAATACCGAGAGATTCTTGACAGCCTGGCGGACGTTTAGCTTATTGTGACAATATTTTATCTTTTTTTTGGTCACTACATACACAATATACGCTGAATGTAGTTTAAGTAACCAATTAAAATTCAAAGTTTACTTCTCCGAGCGTTTTTATGAGGATAATTGAATCTTACCCCCTTTATAAAAGTCATTATTTAACAAGATTACATACATTGATAATTCAAATTTACCTTGTCACTAATACATTCACATTAGTTTTGAGCCGATTTTTAACTATGTCCCAGTTACGATGTTCAAGGACTGTGCCTGTTCCAGAATACAGAACTGCCTTAACCAATTCATCATTATCAGAAAAATTATCTGACAAGGGCAGGACATCGTACAGACCATTTTGAAGATATCCATGATGAATGTTTTTCAATTCTGGAAAAAAAAGTCTGTTAATTAAATACTTTGAAATTCTAAAAAAAAAACAGCAAATAAATTAAGATTACCCAGCCACTGAGACTTATCAGTGCTTCCATTGAAAAAACATTAGTTGAGACAAGATTGATCAACCACTAGCAAGAATAATTAATTAGTGAAGTTGCAGGTTACTTACTATCTATAAATTCTAGCTTGTGAGAAACCAAATTTGTGTTTCTACAAAATCTATCGGCACTGTAAGGATCCTCCTCATTTAATTCTAACCATTTTTCGAAAATTCTCATCAAAGCCAAATGATCAGAACTTTTAGAATAAGCAGACTTGAGATCTTTAATAGACTTTTTATCTGTTAAACTATTGGAACCAAATATATCCGTTTCTGAGGAAAATAATGTGATAATATCAACTATGGGTGTGGTGCATTTGAATACAACACTATTGACCATTGCCTGGAATTGAAATAAGATGATCAGACAATCTTTTTTAAATATAAAATAGCAAATAACAGCCCTTTACCTTTGCCAAACCAGGTTCTAGTTGAAAATCAACCAATGTTTTTCCTAATGGTGTCAATTTTTCATTGTCATCTAAAAGTTCCAATTGTTTCAAATCGTCTACTGCTTTTTGGACTGCTGCTTTCTCTGGTGGTGTAATCAGACTATTCATAAAGTCACCAGCGTTCATGTTATTGGAGAATACTTTTGATTCCAATACTACTCTTGTCAATGAAGAATCTAGATTAAGAAAACATTATCATTTTTTTTGAGGTGACTTGTGGTCTGTATTATATGGTATTGCATATATTCAGCAAAAAGATTAATAATTTAGAAGAAACCTAACAAGTAACGAAAATACAAGAATATTCAGGCTTACTTAATATTTTTGGTGAAGAATAATCTGCAAGTTCCTCATATTTCTCTTTAGTGTACAAATGGTATGACTCTCCAGGCGAACAACGACCAGCTCGTCCAGCTCTTTGATTGGCACTTGCTTTGGAAATCCATTCCATGTCGATGACATTTATTCCTAATAAATGTATTATCAGTTCCAAAGAAATTTTTGTTAGCTTTCAATTTGATATGAATCTTTGAATTGATAAGATCGCATTTTTTAAAAATAATACGCTCAAAAACCAACTCTTTTACCTTTCTTAATATCGAAAATATTATCTTTATGCATTCCAGTATCCACAACATAAACAACATCATCGATGGTTATAGATGTTTCTGCAATGTTGGTAGCCAAAATTATTTTTCTTATACCTGGCGGTGGTTTGGAAAAAATCTTATATTGGTCAGAGTCTTTCAATTTAGAATGTAGTAAATGAACAACCATATCCTGACTTGGAAACATACATTTTTGAACTTTCACCAAATCCTCCCAGCCAGATAAAAATACCAAAATTGCACCTTCTGGTCTCGTTTTATGAATGTATTTCAACAGCTGAAACAATATTTTTGTGTATTATTATCTCACAAATCTGGATAATAAACTCGATAATAAATTATTTTAACAGCAGATCTGAGCACTGAGCCACTGATCCAATACTTTAGTTTTAGTGTTTGCGTTTAGATCTAAACAAATAAATTTGTGCTCATTTCGAGAGGACTCATTGAGCTTAGGTGAATGTTATTTACTCGGTTATTTATTATAAATAAATATTTACAGCTGCTACTTCTTCATGTACGACTTCGGGATTATCAGATTTACACATCTTCAAAGTTTTGGGGTGTAAATTGGCCGATTCTATTTCATCCAAATAAAACTTTTTTACAGGATACGAAAATCCAGGAACATTTAAAATGGGTGCACCATCAAAATAGTCTGAAAAATAAATCCTAAATAAGTTACAATTATTTTTCTACATGAAAAATCATATAACCTGAAAATGATGCAGTATCTATTGTAGCACTCATAACAATAACTTTCAGGCTTTTGTTGTGTTTCAAGGCGATCTTTAGCATATTCATAAGGATATCAGTATTGACGTCCCGCTCATGAGCTTCATCTAGAACGACGTGAGAAAATTTCTTTAAGTGTGGATCACTTTGTATCTGGCGCATCAAAATTCCTGTGGTGCAGTATAGGATTCGTCCAGTTCTTGGGTTAAATTTTGATTTGAGGCGGACTTGATAACCAACAATATGACCCACCTAAAGTTTAATTAGGTAATTAAATTCAGTTTTGCCATAATAAACTCAATTATTACTTGTTCATTTCTTTCTGATGCGACTCTGTTAGCCAATGAAATAGCTGCAATCCTTCTCGGTTGTGTAACTGCGATGCGGCACAATTGATTGTCAGATAATGTTTCATCTCTAATCCAAGACTCTAAAACATATTGAGGTACCCTGCTGGATTTACCACATCCTGGTTCTCCTTTTACGATGACACAATTATTGTTTAATAGAAGCTCTATAAATGCCTCCCTAGATAAAGGAAATTCAATTTATTGACAAATTGGCTTTTTTTCTTTAGCTTCTATAATAAAGCACTAAAATTACCAAGTAAATAAAGTAAGTAATTGAATAGACTTGTTTATAAACTACAAATGCATCCAAATGCTCTGCAATAATATAAGAATATGGGTAAACCACTAGTGGAAATCAATGTACATTTTTTTTGAGAATCCAGTATTCAACCAGGAATAGATGGAAATCACTTGGGAGTCCCTGGGAATAACTTGGGTATTGCTAGGAATCTCCTAGGACTCCATGGGAATCACATAGGAATCCATTGGCAATCGCTGAGAATCATGTGGTAATCGCTGGAAATATTATCTCATTCTAACCCAGAAATCGCATATCATACAATTTAAAAGATACAGCGTACCAGTCAGTTGTGTATTTGCCTTTAAGACTAAGTTTTAGGCAACATTGAGTGCTAGACAATTTGAAATGAATTTTATATCCCAACAAGTTTCCCAATAACTGAACCCGAGACTATGAAGAGTTTAGAACTTGAAGAAGAAGAAGAATGAGATGAAGATTAGGTCTGTTCTCACAGAAATCACAAACCAGTCAGAGCGTTTTTGATTGGTGCAAATCGCCAACAACCAGTTTTATGACTATTTTCAACCAATGAAATTCGCGCTGACTGGTTTGTGAATTCTGTGACAACAGACCCAAACTATGAAATCCCCATGAAAACATGAATCTGAAAACTTCTCTTGAATCCGACTTGCCAAAAGAAGGCACAGAATTTCTTCACACTTTAGAGTTTAGCAATTGCGATTCGCTACAATTAAGAAATTATTCAGGGCTCAACTTTAATTTCGTTCTTTTCAAAGAAGCAAGGACGTTTGTCGATCGAGTATTAAGAGCTATAGGAATGTCCCTGACAAAGACACAATAGTCGGGAATCCAAGGCAATAAGAACTTGAAAAGGGAAATTAGAATAGATACTAGGCAGGGCGAGAAGCAGAGAAGATAGCACATCAGAATCAGAAATAAGTTTGTCAAGTGAAACCCTAACTGAAGGTGTCTCTGATTCAGATGAACATCCTAGTGAAATCAAAGAAATATTCATTATTTTAGATCCATATTATGCAGTGTAGACACTAGACATACAATGGTATCTAGGAGGTAATCATAGAAAAATATCTGAAAATCATTGGCAATCAGTCTTGGGATGGGAATACATGAGATTCATTGATCAGTGATTCCCAAATATGGAAATCATTCTACATTTGTAAACATAGTGGATGACCCCTCGGCTCGGGGTAAACATATGCATTGTTTGGAGATTTATGATAGTTACTCTAACAATTTAGGTACAGTTTTTGAGACATTTGCAATTGGGATTTGTACCCAATTGAACTGGATGTGAGCTTTAATTTGACAATATTCAATAATAGTTATTTATATTACTAGTACAGTTATGTGCTTCATTACATTAACGAGTCGGGAATATTGCTAAAACGAGGTCGTAGCCGAGTTGTGGTAACCACACAAGTGCTGTAATGAGCGTTACCGTACATTTTATGTACGACCCAGATTTTTTTTATGTATTCGAAATGGTTTTGATTTTTCATTTATAAGTATTTATAATTTTTTCAAATAAATGAATCTTATTAAGTGCCATTTTTCAATAAAAATTACTAAAATAAGTTACATAATGAGCTCATTATATCACTAGTGATCTAATCGAGGATTTAATATATTCAATCACAAGTGATGTAATGAGCTCATTACATCACTAGTATGATAATACCAACTTATCACGTAACTCAAACAGGCTAAAATTAGTTATATAATAAGCTCTTATAGTGTGAGTTGTACATAAAATTATTTAAAATCTATCAAATGGTTTAGAATAGAGTGTGCTTATTGAAAGTGGATTTCATTAACAAATACATATCATACTCGAGAAATTCAATATAGGTCTTGATATAGGATATAGGTACTTACCTAAAAAAAAAAAATCTTACCTAAATTAAAATACTCACTTGTAAGCTGAAATTGGTAAAATTATTTTCTCCCGTGCTAAATACTTTGCAGTTCCCAAAAAGTCAGGTTCGTTGGACAGGAAACTGGATTCTCCCGTAACTAATTCATCTGACTGTTCTTTATAATCAGTAAAATTTGTTGAATTTATTGTGGGCAACATATTATTACTAAAGACTTGAATAATATTTTCCATATTCTGGATAGTAGATTTATCAAATTCAACTTTGGATTGTCTTTGCTTTTTGATTTTTTTCACTTCTTCTTTATTATAAATCAAAGGCAAACCTTCAGGGGTAATTTTTCCTTGTTCAGATAGAACTTCAAGTGCTTTACATGCTGCAAATGTACTTGCCCTCAGTTTTGTCTTTTCTGTGGCCATTATTGCATAATTCATCGGCCATTTAATATGATAAGTACAAGTCCAAGCAGAGGTTTTATTTTTAGGTAGTACAGATTTGTATATTGGTGAACATTTCAGGGAAATATCTTTTAATTCTTCCGAAAGAATCTGATAAAAATTATGTAAAGTATTTTTTGGGTTTGGGTATTTTTGAAGAATATGCTGTATTTTACTGGAATTGTCTACTTTAATTTGAATTGGATCTGTAGGGGTATTTCTGGATTTAGTCGTACTCAAGGTAGTATTATTATTATTATCTGAAACATGTTTATCAGTTATATTCTCATTTACCATTACATTATTTTCAGGCAACCTGAAAGGTGGATTGCCATTAGTTTTTATTGAGTTTTCATCATTACTGTTGATAGATTCTTCTGGATTTGACTTTGTAACTAAATGTCTTTGTGCACTATAGTAAGGAGGACGTAATGATGCATTTTCTAATCTAAATGATACATTTGCATTCAATGCCAAGGTATTGGGTAGAAAATTTTTGGGTGATATATTATTTGTGCTTGTCCATCTTATAGCAGCGGCCAGTTTGCAATTCATACTTAGTTTGGATAAACTCTTAACTAAATCAAAAGGTTCTAATACTTTGAGTTCGTTCAAAGTTAAAGTTGATCTTTTCTGATGTAATTTAGCATCGATGGGTATTTGATGTAAAGCAACAAGTGCATTTTCCCTAAATTCTTTTGAGAAACTATTATGCATCTGTCTAGAAGTTGAATTCTGTTTTGGTTGTAAATTTTCCTCTTTAGAAGGGATTCTGTTTACACTTCTTGAGCTTCGGTGATATTCTTTGAATGCGTAGAGCCTCTGTTTATGTGTTATTTCTCTTCTCCTATCTAAAATTGCATGGCATTCGCTGGAAGTTTTACCCATGTTTCTAATAATTATTAATCTTTGGTTCATTGCAGAGCTTTCGAATGAGTAGGACTGCAAATTGAAATAACGATAAATAAACATGCTCCTCTGAGCGAAAATATTTGTTGACAACATTATTATTTTGTAACTACTATAATATTTTATTTGGTTTTGGGACACAGGACACTATCTAGTTATTTTTTTCTTCAAATTTTTCACTTCAGGTCTTCCGGATTTTTAAATTTTCAACATTCAAAATGTGTTTTGTCACAGCCCTCAGTGAGGTTATGTGTGTTGTGAGTGGAATGTGGAAGTCGGATATCAAGGAAAATACACACTAGTATATAAATACCATAAATACGATTGCTTCACCAGTGATGACGTAACAGCGTGTCGTTTTTCGCCTTGACGTGTGGCGTAGGCGATCCAACGACCTGTGAAAAAGAAATTCAAAATGGAGGCCAATGCCTTATATTGTTCGTCGATTTTTATCTGACACTTTCCGTATGAGGAGCGAGGGGGTGAAGTATATGGCAAAAACAGGTGCGACGTCAGGTGACAATTGGCGTTCTAATGTAGGGAGCCACCAGCTCACATTCCTTCCGAGTATCAGATTAAAATCGAAGGACTTTACACTACGTTTTATTGCGAAAGTCTATGAAGTGGTGAAGTGTTGATTTTTTGGAAAATGCATACGTTATGTATTGTACTTAGTTGTGGGAGCCGTTCTAAGGGTGGGTATTATAAAACTGCTTTGACAGTTAACTTGAAGTTAACTCTTTAGGGCGGGTATTATAAAACTGCTTTGACAGTTAACTTGAAGTTAACTTTTTGAATTACATGTAATTCCAGAAGTTAACTTAAGTTAACTCTCAAAGTGGTTTTATAATACCCGCCCTTTAATAAATTACATGTAATTCCAGAAGTTAACTCTCGAGGTATTTTTATGATACCCGCCCTAATCACGACAAAGTCTCATTTAGTGCGGGTATTATAAAACTGCTTTGACAGTTAACTTGAAGTTAACTTTTTGAATTACATGTATTTTCAGAAGTTAACTTTAAGTTAACTCTCAAAGTAGTTTTATAATACCAGCCCTTAATGCCGTTCCTGCAGAGACAAAACACCAGGGTTTGGACGCAGAAAGACGATTTGTCTGTACTTTGTACGGCTTCATGGATTGCAGCAAAAGAGAAAAAATCTGACGAAACCCATAATAAAAAACCGAAGTCTCTCCATATAGACCACCGTGGATCCCAGCCATTTACTATCCGCAGCTCAACTTGTGTTGATACCTTCAATAGCAGACAAATAAAATAAACATCAGGATTCAGCATTTTAGATCCCGTTTGCATCTTCCTCTCTGCCTATTATGTTAATCAAAATTAAATAATATTTTTCATCAGAATAAATTTAAATTTTAAATTACGACCGCAAACAGCTAACGTTGATGACGTCAACAATGGTGCTACACTAGGTCTTTTCGCACAGCCAATCACAAACCAGTTGATCAAATTTCATTGGTTGAAATCAGTCAGAAAACTAGTTTATACCAATGAAATTCACTCTGACTGGTTTGTGATTTCTGTGCGAACAGCGAACAGACCTTATGTGACTGCAATCATAGTATTTTTTAATTTGAATTGAAACACTAAAAAAACATCCTAGCCGTTTTCTCGCGTTCACTTTTTTGACATTGGTTCAAAACAGGTTTAAAACGGGCAATGGTGTTCCGATTGACTGTTTCAAACTGGTTTTGAACCAATGTCAAAAAAGTCGACGCAAGAAAACGGCTTAGATGTTTTTCTAGTGTTTCAATTCGGATTAAAAATACCTTACCAAAAACGAGGCCGATAAGCAATCGTAGTAGTGTGTATTATCCTCGACATAGTGTAGCACCATTGGCGACGTCATCAACTAAGTCGTGAGCTGTTTGCGCCAGCGGTCGTAGTTTAGAATTAAAATGTATGATGGAAAATATTATTTAATAGGATCATGAAATATTTTTGCTGACCAATCGCGTTCCGTATAGACCGGTTTTTCAGGAGACATTATGGAACGTGTAACCGAACCAAGGTTGAAAACGGAACCCAGCCTTAGCTTATGCTTGATTTGTACATACTTCATCCTCAAGGATTATACACACAACCAACCACACAGGATTGCTTAACGGCCTGTGTTATTGGGAGACGCGGCCATATTGTCACCATTGACACCGTCATCAACTACTTCGTTTATTATAAATATTTATGATAAAAAATATTATTTAATTTTGATCAACATAATAGGCAAGGAGGAAGATGCAAACGAGATCTATAGATTTTTATGTAAAATTTAGAATGACGTCATCGAACAAGGACAGACAATGTTTTCAATGCCAATTTTTTTTCTTATAATTTACCAGAATGTCATGTGTCAATAATTCTGACGACAGCTAAGAATTGAAAATGTTTATACAAGTCATGCAACTTCGCGCGCCGTTGCCAACCAAAAACATCTGAAATTCCCCTACTTTAAATGCGTTAAAAAGTACTTTTAGTTTTGTTAGGTTGGCAGCAGAAATTTACTAAATGTGACGTCATCCTGAATATAGCGTAAAAATCCTATAAAAAAGCGCCCTAGCGGGTATTATAAAACTATTTGGACAGATAGCAAAAAGTTGACTTGCGGAATTACTATGGGAAGTAACGTCATTTTATGAGTTAACTTTTAAGTTAACTGTCAAAATAGTTTTTTAATACCCACCCTTAGGCCCAGTTGTACAATCTCGGTTCAAAACAAAGTTCAACTGAACTCGACTGGTACTTGAACTTTCCCATTCAAAGTACATTGCTGTCAGCTGTTAATCGGATTTTATCAATTTTGACAGCAATGCTTTTCAAATGAGCAGGGACCCGGACCGGAACGATATTGGACCGAAAACCGGAACGAAACCGTTTTTTTTTTTTTGCGGACCGGAACCGGAACGAAACCCATATTTCATAGAAATGTTGTAGGGCAGGTAGAACCGGAACCGATATAAATTAATCGGTTCTCACCGGTATTTTTCGGTTCCAAGATTTTATAAATTAAGCTGTTTGATGTTTGGTTGTATCATAATAAATTAACACTTTGAAAAACAGAGCGCGTTGGACAATGGACAGCGCGCATTTCTAAACTCGGCTAGACACACCAAGGATTTTACATACTACTACAGGATTGCTCATCGGCTTCGATTTTTGGAATCAAGTTCATATGTTGTTGAACCGTTGCCGACGTCATCAACGGTCTCGTTAGCGGTTTGCGTTCGTAATCAAGAATATACATGTATGATGAAAAATATAATTTAAATTTGATTAACAGAATAGTGAATAGACAAGAGGAAGATACAAATGAGATCTAAACAAAGGTTGTTTTAGAATATTAAATAATGTATTATGGTTCTAAACCGTTTCGAAATACAATCCAATCCACGTTTTAAAACCATTTCCTCGTGCCGAGAAATTATGACGTCATCGTGAAACTGATTTAAACCAGTTTTGGAAAATGTATCAAAACTTTGAGACGCGAGAAAACACCTACTAATCCGTGGTGCAACTGGTGCAAGCACTACGTCAAGGCGAGAAACGACACGCTGTTACGTCATCACTGATCGAAAACACAAAAATTTATTTTATTAATAGTAACTATTATGATTATTAAAGTTGTTGCAGATAGGCAGAGAAATCCAAAAAAAATAAACCACAAATTATAGAAACATAAATTTTTCTGTAATGATCGATTTAAGTTTTAAGGGATGCTTCTTGAACTGGTCAGTGCAAATGGCCATTAGATGTTTGTGAAAAACTATACCGGTATGAACCGTTAAAACCGAAATTATTGGTCCGAACCGAATCGAAATATTTCTCTTAGAACCGAAACCGTAACGGAATCGATATTCGTCATGACGCTGTGGACCGGAAGCGGAACGGAACCGATATTTCATTTCGGTCCAGGTCCCTGCAAATGAGGAAGTTCCAAGTACCAGTCGAGTTTAGCTGAACTCTGTTTTGAACCAAGATTGTACAACTGGGCCTTAGAATGTTAATTAATGTACTAAAACCCAGTATGCATAAAGCAAAAGTCCGCGGAATCATAACCTTTATTGCACACCGTACGTCAAGGCGAGAAACGACACGCTATCTACGTCGTCATTGGTTCTATGGCGTGGTGGGGTGCTTGATATTTCATCTTCACAGGCCTTATCAGGATAAGCTATCCTGTACTAGTAGTGTGTATTATCCTTGCCTCATCCTCACCTCAGATGTAGACTGTAGACTCGAATCTAGAATTTTATATCTATCTATATCTCTTTAATTTTTAATTCCCTTTTCTGGATATCTTCTGCTCGAACTTTGCATGGTGCCAAATTCGATATATCCAGGGGGTTTCACGAACATCGAAACAGGGGCGTTTTAGATTTTAAGGTCGATTTAAAAAAAAAAAACGCTTGAACGTCATTTTTGTATTTAAGGGGGAAACTTTTTGACCCCATCGGTATTTCGCTATGGTGCACCTACCCCCTGGGTGGGATGACTTTAACCCCTCTTTTTTAGATAGGGAAGATGGGTGGAGTGGTACCATATACCTATTAAGTATACTGACGTAGGTATATCGCGGGTTGCTTAGAGCTGTGAAGCAAACAATATGAGATGAAAGTATGCCATCTTTGTCTAGGGAGAATTTTGATTTCTAATGCGCATGCGTCAATTCCACCAATAAGCAAGAATCAATTTTGGGCAACTGATAATGCAAGGTTGCCAATAAGCGTATAAACTAGGTAATTTGCCTGTATTTGAACTAAACAAATATCACTGTCAAATCAAAGGCAAAAATGTGAGCCTGCTTGACACCAAATAATTTATTATCAAAAATTGCCTGCTAAGGGGCAAATTATGGACTGACTGGTAAACCTCTGGTTGTTACCTAGCAGGTACTTTCTATGCACTAGAGAATAGAAAGTACCTGCTGAAACCACTAAAAAAACAAAAAGTCCAAATTATGCATAAAATCCTCAACCTGATAATATGACAATACCGCACAAGAAGCATATTACAAAATGCCAACCGCCTGCCAATAAGAATGTAGCATTTAACGCTTGCGCAGTTGACCTCGTTCTGCTTCGTTTAACAAAGATAGACTTATGCGAGATCATATGTCTCAATGTCGAGAATCAAAATACCTGAAAAAACAAGGTACCACTCGACCCATCTTCCCTATCTAAAAAAGAGGGGTAAAAGTCCGCACAGAGGGTACATCTGAGCGTTTTTTTTTTTTTTTTAATCGACCTTAAGATACCCCAAAACGCCTCTGTTTCGATGTTCGTGAAACACAGTAAAATCGCTCAGACCCGTCAATTTTATTTTTAAGCGGGGTATTTTTTGAAGATAAAAAAAAAAGTACCTTCAGAGTGCCTCAAAAATGGTGTTAGCATCAACTTTGTTATTTCAAATAATGGCAACCCTGTATATTATTGCATTTTTGAGTTCTACGAAAAAGTATGGAAATATTTTATGCATAATGTCCTATAGGACATTTAAAAGAAGATAGGTATACCTATCTTAAACTGTTTCGACTGTTTCGGAAATATTAACAGTTGAAAATTGACTTTTTTGCAACTTTGACAAGCTGGAAAAACCGATCATACATTCTTTCTCAGTTTTCCATTTACCATCGTTTGACACCGACTTGCAGCTGTATGCAACATCCTCTTTTAACTTGATAGCGCTTTTTAAAACTGGTACCTTTAAAAATTTGTATGGTTTGGAATACACATTTTTAAAAGTGATTAGTTTTAAAAAGCGCTTTTAAGTTAAAAGAGGATGTTGCATACAGCTGTTAGAATTTAACCGGAGATCAATTACACTGGAATTTTTAATAATGGATTAAATTCAAAGTTGCTGTCAAATGATGAGTTTATGAAAAACTAAGATAAAGCTAAGTCCTCATAATCGCGAATTGCGAACTTTTTTTCTGCGGAATTTGTTCCTATTGGTCCAAATTATTTGAAATTATAATAGCGGGAAAATCTCGCAAATATTTTGAAGTTCTTGCGGCATCGCAAAAAAGTTAAAAATAATTTAACTTTTTGGCGAATAAACTAGCATAACCTCACTTCTTCCCAGATTATTCATCAAAAAGTTCAATTATTTCAATTTTTTTGCGATGCCGCATGAGTTGAAAACATTCGCGAGATTTTCCCGCCATTATAATTTCAAATAATTTGGACCAATAGGAACAATTCCGCAGAAAAAAAGTTCGCAATTCGCGATTATGAGGACTTAGCTTAAGAATGCCTAATCGGTTTTGCTCTAAAATTAATTGTTTATGTTTTACAGTCAGTCAAAGTTGCGAAAAGTCAATTTTCAACTGTCAATAGTTCCGAAACAGTTGGAGGTAAGTATAGGATATTATACACGAAATGTTCATTATTTTTCTTAGAATTCAAAAATGCAATAATATACAGGGTTGCTATTATTTAGAATAACAAAGTAACAACATTTTTGGGACACCCTGTATAATTATTTTTTTCTTCAAAAAAAGTTAAAAAATAAAATTGGCGGGTCTGAGCAATTTTTCAAAAAAAAAAGATAGTTTTCAAACCCCTGTAGGTGTTCCATTTTTTTTGCTTACGCTGTATATTGTTTTTCCTGCATAAGATTTTATATACACGCCTGGCAAGTCAACATCTTACAAACCAGTTTTAATGCAATAGAATGAAATGTCTAGAGAAAGTCTAAGGTTGAATAGAGAACGAAAACGATTTCCCCTGTTCCGCCTCTAGCATTCCCAGCGCTTTTTGCTGCAGGTGGAACATGGGATATCGTATTCGTTCTCTATGTAACCTGATACTTTTTCTAGACATTCCATTCTATCGCATCAAAATTGGCATGTAAGATGTTTACTTGCCAGGCATGTAAAGTCTGTTTTTTTTTTTAAAGATAATTCCCCAAGGCAAAAATTTAGTAACTATGTTGGCAACACAAGCCTTTTCTACATCATGGTCGGCGCACTAATATTACCGCTTTGAGGGCCGTTTGCTCCGACCATTTTAAGGAAGGCTTAACCACAGCTTAACGATAAGTATTCCTTAAAGTGACATTTTTACATGTAAAACTGTTATTTTAAGGTATACTTATTGCTAAGCCTGCCTTAAAACGGTCGGTGCAAACGGCCATTAGCCAGCTTTTTTAGTTCACTCGTGACCGCTGATGACTCTGCTGGTCTTATAAAACTGAGGTTATGAAAGTGAAAATGAAACAAATACCGAATCCTTCATCGGAAATGTCATTGTCATTTGGCCTTTTCGTTCATTCGACATTTCAAAATTTAAATTTAAATTGTCTTTTGATTGTGTTTATTCTTGTGAAAAACTAGGGACTCGAGAAACCTCTGCAAACAGTGGCGACGATGAATAGAGGCCCCGCCGCCATGTTTTTGAATTTTCAAATATGAATACATAGGAATTATTGGATATAAATGGATATCTATAATCAAAATTTGAAGGTAACATATTTCTCTGACTATAATTTGAATACGTTATTTTCAATTTTTTATGATAGATATGGATATCCGAGGGGATATTCATTTATATTATTATTCATATCAAAAAATTGAAAGAATATGGCGGCGGGACCTCCATTGTCGCCACTGTTTGAAGAGGGTTGTCGAGTTACTGTAAAAATTACAGTGAACTAGAGTCCGCGTCAAGAGTAAAGAGTACGGTGACGTCAAATGCGCACAAACCCAATTTTGAAGACTAACCGAACTATGGTATTGTTCGGTGCTGCTGCCGAACGCCAAGCACGTGGTTCATTGTAGTACGGCCAGCAGGCATATTTATTTGGTTTATTTTCTATCCAAGTTTTGTCTAAAAAGATACCCCGCTGCTGGTTTCAGCTCACGTCCGAGGTCACGGCAGACAGCGAGAGATAGACGTGGGAGAGAGATCGGACCTGCTTCGCGCAGCTTTCCGTGTCGTCACCGTACTCTTTACTGCTGACGCGGACTCTATCAATAACAAAGTGCCATCTTTCGGAGAATGACCGAACTAGTATTTATAGTTCACTCTCAGTCGGCAGAGGGCGCTAAAATACGACATGATATGTCAACATTGGAGAGTCCAGTCTATTCACCCCCTATATAAAGTCTGTTATTTTTTTAAAGATAATTCCCTAAGTCAAAAATTTAGTAACTATGTTGGCAACACAAGCCTTTTCTACATGAAAAATTTGAAGGCATTGACAAATTTACATTGTATTGCCAACATAATGTCATTTTGACTTTTATCTTTTAAAAAAAAAACAGACTTTATAAGACGAAATAAATATGGAACATATGGCGACCCATAAGATTGGATGTCCTACATGTCTATAATATCAGTGGTTAATTCATTTTCATTTACTCCAACTAACTTCCATGAAGTAAAACAAACCTTGAAAAGTATAAGAAGAAAAAAACCTCCTTAGAATTTTGAACGAATACACGCGAGAATACATAAGAATACATGGATTAGGCAAGAATAACATTAAAAACAAATATGTAAGTCTGATAAAAAAAAATATATATTTCCACATATAAAATAGAACAAAATAAAGAAATACATGCGTGGAGTCAGTATGGTTGCCCTATAATATTTAACTCAAATTCAAAATATGTAGATACCTATATGATTCTGTAATCATCCAAAAAATATTCTCTTGAACTCAATTTCTAACAATAATAAACGAAAAAACACAAAATAAACTCTACAAAAACTTAAAACTAATTTTATCTTGAATTGGCACTTAACAAAAGTTATTCTTAAATAGATTAAGCTAGAAAACTACATGCTGCATGACAGTAAAAACTAAATAAAAATAAATATACATATCAGATCTGTATCTGTATACACCTAAAGTAATATAAATCAGTTATTATATTTTTTGGTATAATTGATTCAAACATTCCGCAATCGTCAAAAAAATAATCAGTTGCCTAATCATTAAGACATAGAAAACAAAAAATAAAAATTTAATTAAAAAAAAAAAAAACTTTCTACTTAATTAACAAATAAAATCTTCGATGGATTTTATATTTGTGATGATGAAAATTTGGTATTTGATCAATAAATTTTTGGTTAAATTTATCACCAGCGAATGTGGCAAGGTAATCCCTGTTTTTCATTCCGAAACTGAAAATAAAAAGTGTTGTGAATCTTCAGGAAATAACTTCAAAAAACATCGTGATAGTCTTAGAGCTTGTTACAGAGAATGGAACAGGATTCAGTGTAACTGAGGTTCACATGCTATACCAACAGAGTGGTTGTCAGAAGGCTTCCAGATTGCCATGTGACAACCTATCTGTTGTAAAATGCAAACAATGAGCGTGTGTACCACTGAAAATTTGTGGAATTGTCGAAAATGAGATAAAAAAGAAAGGAAGTAGGAAATTATGTCAGCTACGCGGGTATACAGGGTGTCTCATTTTAGTTGTCCATACATAAGGGATTACTCGGTTGCTATTTGGAGTTGAGGATTTTTTTAAAATGAGATACCCTTTATAATAATAGCTGATTGGATAGTTCTGCTTTTGCTGATTTCAATGATATAAAGTTCGATAGGTTTATTCCTAACTAAGTTTTTGGGGAAAAAAAATCACTTTTTGTCATTAGAAACAATGTGTTAGAAAAGGGAAACGAGAAAGGTCACTTTGCCACTGGAATCTACACAGAAAGATCTATGAAAACCCGTTGGCACCTTTTCGGTCACTGAGAGAGCTGAGATAAAAGATACAAAGGGTGTCCCAAAATGCAACATTTTCAAAAACACCATGTATCTGAAAAACAAAAAGGGTAATGACAATTTTGTTGACGGCATATTTCTTTTGCAAAAAAGTAGCAATCAATGTTCGCGAAAACCGCATCCTTCTAACTTCAATAGCAACCGAGTTAACCCTTATGTACAGTAGAACCAAAATGGGAAACCCGTACAGTAAAGGGACATGAAGACATGTAAGATTAGGTACTTTTTTTGGGTTGTTTTAGTTTAAAGCTTGTCATAAGACGTCTTAGATGTAGGGAGAATTAATATTGTAGAATATCAATAAAGAGATTCACTTGAAACAAATTCAAACAATTTTAGACATTTGAAATGAGATTAAATATTTTTTATAAGCAATATTCGCACTTACTTTGATAGATTTGCTGCATGCTAATCTACAAACATCCGATATCTTTCCTCTGTGTATAAGGAGAAATGGTAGGATTCTCCCAAAGACCCAGTAAGTCCAACTCGTTGATTGGCATTTGCCCTAGAGATCCATTCCAGGTCAAAGACGTTTATTCCTATCAACATCGAACAATATATTAGTTGTTATGAACTTTTGCAAAATTGATGTGAAAACTATTTTTCAAAAGTGATATGTTAAAAAAACGTAATAGGTATAGGTAAACTCTGTCTAACCAAAGTTGAACGTTGAAGGTCACTTACTCGAATATATCGCAGACGTTGCTTTTTGCTGCTGTCTTTATTGCACGCGCACTGTGTTTATCAAACCAAAATAGGTCCGAACGTGTGAATCCTATGGTTACAAGGATGAGTAAGTGACCTTCAACGTTCAACTTTGGTTAGACAGAGTTTAATTACCTTGCTCAATATCAAAAAATTCACATTTCCGCATTCCTGTATCCACAACATACACAAGGTCATCAATGGATATGAAAGATTGTGCAATGTCAGTAGCCAAAATAATCTTCCTTTTCCCTGGTGGTGGTTTCGAATGAATATCGTGTAGCTCAGAATCGTTCAAGGATTGAGAAGACACCAAATGAACAACCACATTGTCACTTGGGTACAAAAGATTCTGCACCTTTACTAAATCCAACCAGTCAGGTAAAAATACCAAAATTGCACCGTCAAGTTCTCTCATTTCGTGAATGTATTGCAATATCTAAAACATAGAATTATTGGGTTTCATAAGTTTCTGCGCCATTTACTTTGAGACCTTTGCAGAGCCTAGGCGAGATCAACATTACTTTTCTGAATCATAGTTTAAACCATAGGACCCTTATTTCGGGTAGTTCAGTTCAACCTCGGTTGTACAATAAGTTGTGAAGTCTTTAAACTGTATTACTGAAAAACCCATAGACAGCCAAAACTAAAACCTTTGATTTGCTACGAAACAGAACGAATAGACATATATACCTATCCCTAATATGCAACTAATGATGGGATAATGGGTCCTGAACACAGGTTATGCCACAGCAAAATATTTAGCAGGAATCAGCAACATCAACAGGATTTTTTTTTGAGTAAAGGATTGTGGGTTTATCGGTTGAATTTAAAAGAAACGAATTGAATTCGACCAATAAACCCACAATCCCTAACTCAAAATATATCAACTTGGTCACTAACAGATAACAATATCAACAGGAATGTTGAGGTCCTGACATGGCGAAACAAAATAGAAATAATAGTTGCCTTGTTTTGCGGAAATCCAAATGCAATTTTGTGTTTGTATAAACATTGACGCAGTCAAATGGAAGAACCTCATAGGCTACTACAAAAAGACACTGAGAGAAGGTGGAAGAAAGCTGGAAAACCGAAATCATCTATTAATTATTGATAAAACCATTAAAATGTTTGGTAAATTTTTAATCGATTTACTGCCTTGTCAGCAGTCACTTCAAAGGTCTTGATATTCTGCAAAAGACTACTAGTAGTTGTAACTGTACTGTAACCGAATTTAAAAACAAAGAACTACAGCATAAAACACTTTTATCTTTAATTCAATATCGCCGATACTTCCGAAAATATTTGAAAAGTGCATAGTTTCACAAACAGTTGAATCGAATTATGATACTTTTGCACAATATATTTGTCTCGAGTCAGGATGTGGTCAACTATGATATGTAATTAATGCATTTGATAGCTCGAGGCTGAGTTGCTGAGAGGTATGACCATTTGTAGGTGTCCCTCGTCCAAAATAACAGGCTTTCTTACAGGAGAAAAATACTTACTACTACCACTTCTTCGTGTATCACAGCAAGATGATTATCACATGAACACATCGCCAATGTTTTGGGGTATAATGCTGATGCTGATGCTTCTTCCAAATAAAATTTATCTATATGATAACTAGGAATACTCATTGGTGCACCATCGAAAGACTCTAAAAATTATTGAATGAAATATTAAATGCATTATCGTTCACCAGAAACAAACATACCTGAAAACATTTCAGTGTCAATTGTGGTGTTCAGAGTTTGATTTTGTTTTACAGCTATCTCCACAATATTGACAATATTATTTCTATTGGCACATTGTTTTTCTGCCAATGAAATAGCTGCCATCATACGCCTCAGTGTAACCGCCATTTGGCATAACTGAATCCTAGACGAAGCATTATCGTTAATCCAAGTCTCTAAGACATAATGCGGCATCCTGCTGGATTTAGCACACGATAGTTCTCCTCTAGTAATGGCGCAGTTCATGCTTTGTAGCAGCTCAACAAATTTATCCCTTGAAAAAAGGAATTCAATTTCAATAGGGAAATCAACTCTTTAAAAGTATTTGTCGATTCATTTGAAAACGAACTACCTCAATAGGTAGGTACAAGACAGGCCGCTTTTTTTGACTCTACCTGTACTTTTGTAAAAAATCTGAAATAGCTCTGCCAAATCCGAAAATAATAGGTACCTAATTTAAAAAAAGTAATTAAATTTATATCTACAGATAAATAGTAAGATTTTTCAATTTGTGATTGTGAAGCATTTGTGACAAGGAAAATGGATGACGCATAGTATCATCGCGATAGCGAGGATTAGTTGAGTAATCGGTCGTGAATGCTGCCATCGTTTCCTTTGTTGTCAATACTGCATTTTTGGGGTTTCTTTATTATAATAGTTTGATTGTTAATATACCTACTTTTGGGGAATTTCGTTGTTTTACTAGAGCAGCGGCGAGATTTAATTAATTAAGTCTAAAAAATTAGCACAACGAAAATGGCACACATCAGAAAAACTTGAGTACTAAATTCGGGCCTATTTAGTGCTAATTTAGTATACGAAAAAAAATTTATAACTCTATTTTAAAAAAAATTACATGCATGTGTGCCAACTTAAGAGCTGGCACACTCTAGTTAGATAAGGTCGAATATTTGAAAATCTAGTACCTCATATTTAGTGCTAATTTAGTACATTCATGGCACGCCTAAAAAACTAACAATGATGTGTTTATTACAAAATAACCACGGAAAAGTGCTAACTTAAGACTTGAATTAGCACACATACATCGAATCGACCGCGCGACTGACCCAAACTAACGTCTGAAATTAGCACTAAATGTGTGCTAATTTAGTACTCTAGTTTCATCGCGCCATCGGTGATAATGTTTGTTAACTTAAACACTAAGCCAGCACACAAGTGCTAGGATAGCTCTGTGCTGATGTGATAATAATTCGTTTCGGGTCGTCGTTTTTGAAGTACTAAATTAGCACTAAATATGTGCATGCGAATTCCCTTCTCGCGCGGTCGATTTGATGTATGTCTGCTAATTGAAGTCTTAAGTTAGCACTTTTCCGTGGTAATTTCGTAATAAATACATCATTGTTAGTTTCTTAAGCGTACCATGAATTTACTAAATTAGCACGAAATATGAGGTACCATAGAGTTTCAAAGATTCGACCCAATCCAACTGGAGTGTGCCAGCTTAATCTTAAGCTAGCACACATGCACGTAATTTTTTTTAAAATAGAGTTATAATTTTTTTTCGTACTAAATTAGCACTAAATAGGCCCGAATTTAGTACTCTGGTTTTTCTGATGTGTGCTATTTTCGTTGTGCTAATTTAAAGTACCAATATTTAATCCACGTTTTACCGAATAAACTGGTGTTTGTAGAGTTTTCCTTTGTTCTTAGTTGACTGTTAGTTTGTTAGTTATAGTGTTGTGATATTGGCGAAAAACAGAAATGGGAAGAAGGAAAAGACAATGAAGTAGTTCTAATTCTAGTGATTTAAAGGAATCAAGTTCAGACATCTAGTTCTTCGGCGTAGCGATTATACCGGGCGTTACAGAAGGCGTACCAAAAAAGCCAAGAAAAATGGCCGTTCCGTTGATTGTTCTAGGCTAAAAGAGGCTGGATTATCTGGTAGAAAAATACGAACCAGAGTTTAACCCAAGTATAGGCAACATGAGCTGTAATAAGTGGTTGTATAAGGTTGATCAACTTGGTGAAATAAATAATTGGGATATTAACTTAAAGATTTTCCACATGCAAACTCACCTTCGTGGTCAGAATGGAAATGAATGCTTATTTCGGCATTCCCTAGATCATAAAGATTTTCCGAGTGTTTTAAAAGCTATGATGAATCGCATAAAGCGTTCCGATGAATCACGGTCAGAATATTATTATGGAAAATTTCAACTCCTTAGACAATGCGAAATATCAGACAAAAATGCAGTGGCAATGATTCTCGTCGGAATCCCTGATAGCACGATACAATTTGGAGCTAAAGTAGGAAGGTATACAACACCTGCAGATCATTTTCGTGAGTAGGTACTTGTCATCGCTATCTTCAGTACAAGTTACAGTGAAGCAACGGATAGAAATGCCTAAGCCACAAGAGTAGCGGTTTGAAAATGTACAAAAACATAGTACAAAGCCGAATCTTAAGCATAAGAAGTGCTTTAACTCCAAAGAATATGGGTACATCTTTATGCCTGCCCAAAACCAAAAAAGGAATGTACTATTTGTAAACAAGTAGGTCACTTATTAGCTCAAAATTGTCGTAAGAACAAACCGCGTACTTCACATAAGGCGCTAGTTTGCGAAACAAACAAGAAATCAAACTCTGATGGCTATTAACTAGCTTGTAGGCCGGAGTTACCCAATTCCTTAATTCTTAATATTTGTCCTTAATTCTTAATTCTTAAAAAGTTCAATTTATTTAACATTGGGGTTTTTAACGATTAAGAATTAAGAACCAAAATTAGGAATTAAGGAATTGGATAACCCCGGCCGTACAGTAAATGGAAAAACTTTACCTGGCTTCGTAGACTCTGGGTGTAAAGGGGTGCTCATACATGAAAGAGATGCCAAAAATGTTGACTTAGAGTGGTCAGCAAGCGATGTGACATTGAACGGGTACGGAGGCGCTATCACAAGAGTGTTAGGTGCCGCTAAACCGAATATTAGAGTTGATTTATTTCAAGCGACAGTTTCAGTCTTCGTAGTGTGGCTGTATGACTGGCAGAGAAATCTTAAATAAAAGGCACGCGATAACTGTGATAACAAATAAAACAGTAAGGTTTTTTGACAGCAACTTCTGTGAGCCACCAGGCATCGACAAGGTGCCGCTTAAAAAGATAGTGCTTAGGTACGGTTGATGCTGCTAAGGAGATACCGCCAAATCATATTGAATATATAAAATGCTCAGTCTCCGATAGTTACGATGGCGATCATTTTGGAGATCTCAGCCAACGTTATATCCAGAACAGCGAGTATGTGATTTTCAATTTCCAGCAAGACGATGATTCCTATACTTAATGGTTCTGGAAATGAGATTTGCTTTAAACCTAACCATCAGGTTGTGGCAAGAGGAGTTCCTTGCTTTCCTGACTCAAAAATGGTAAGTGATTGCCTCAGGGTTAACATTTGTAATTTACCAAAGTTCACTATAAACGATCTGGCTAGCCGTATGTCCAATAATTTGTCAAGTTCTGAAATAAATGATCTTTTACTATTACTACTTAAACTTGGTATCGCAACTGTTTTGCGAAAAACATGAATGAGTTAGGTCATATAAAAAACGCAGAAATGGAGATCCGTTTGAATGATAATACTCAGGTAAGCTACAGACCGTATATAGATTTTCAGTGCATGAGAGAGAAAATGTTCGTAGAATAATTAACGAATTACTTCCGGCTAATATTATAAAAGAGTCAAAATCACCGTATTCGAATCCGATTGTTCTTGTAAAGAAAAAGAATGGTGAAACGTGCATGTGTGACGACTATCGTTCTCTCAACGCGAAATCCGTAAAGGATTGTTATTGTTATCCATTACCAAGGGTGGATGAACATTTAGAGGTATTTAATGGATGAAGGTACTTCACCACTTTGGACATGACATATCACCAAATTCTTATGGCAGAAAATTCTAGAGAGAAAACAGCGTTCATAACACCAGATGGCCAGTATGAATATCTGAGGATACCGTTTGGATTAGTCAACGCTCCAGCAGTGTTTCAACGAACCATCAATCAGATCTTAGGCTCGATGAGGTTTTGGCCAGCATAAGCCTACATGGATGACATTCTGGTACCATCGCCGAATTTATGTTCGGGATTGCTGACATTTAGAAATGCGGGAGTTACCATGCGACTCTTAAAATGTTGTTTCTTTCGAGATATGATCGAATATCTGGCATATGAAATTAGTTCATTAGTTCATAGTAGCTATTTTCGAAAATATGTCAAAAACTTTGCACACATAGCTCGTCCGTTAACTTCACTGACTAAAAAGGATATTGTTTTCAATTGGGGTGAATCTTAGAATAGAGCATTTGAAAAACTTTTTTTTTTATTAAAAGGCCTATTCTTGCGATTTATGACCCTAGAGAGAAAGAAATCCACACTGATGCCTCCAAAGACGGCTTGGTGGAATTTTATTACAGAGGCAGGGAGATGGCAACCTAAAACCGGTACTGTACTTTAGCCGCCAAACATCAAAAGAGGAGCAAAAGTACCACTCCTATGAGCTGGAGACTTTAGCCGTAGAGTGCTCGTTACAGAGGTTTCGGATGTATCTACTTGGGCTATCATTTAAAGTCATAACAGATTGTAATGCCCTAAGGAGGGCAATGTCCAAACGAGACTTAATTTCAAGGATTGGTGGTGACTATCAACGCAGGAATTTAATTTCACAGTAGAGTATCGGCAAAGAACAAAAATGGCGCATGTAGACGCATTGAGTCGTAATCCAGTTGTTACAGAGAGTCACAATGAAAGACAACAAGAGATTAATATCCTCAGGTAGATATAACTCAAAATGACTGGATTTTGTCGATACAAACTAAAGACAAACAATTTCAAGAGTTGATTGAATCACTAATCACACAGTTCCAATTCAAACGACGCAAAATAGGTTCACAAGGAATACACGCTCAAAAATAGGAAAATATATCGGAAAACTCCGGACGGCTTAAAGTGGTATGTACCAAAGGCAAGCCGACGAGTCGAAACAATGTTCCATCATGACAATATGGGTCACTTTGCTTTAGAAAATAACCTAAAAACCATTGCTAATAAATATTGGTTTCCAATGACGCAAAAATATGTTTTTTTTATTGATAAGCCATTTCACTTATTTAAAGTACTCCTGAGCGTGTTTAAATCGAACATTCAAAAACGCGCGTGTTTTAAAGTTACTAATGACAACATCAACAACCAACAGCCCGAGAAAGGTCTAAATGTCAACTTTTTAATTATTGATTTGTCAGGAGTAGGTACTTGTAGACAACGTC